ATCATTCTTTCTGTTTCTCTGGTGAGTGTTGAATGATATTTTAAGATTGATCCTCTGCATTATCCTGTTGTTTATATTTCTCCCTAACCTTGTAAGGCTTCTATATTTGTTTCTTTCTTTTTTCTTCTTTAATTAAAGTTTCTCCTTCATGAGCTCATTGCTTGGTGCTTGTTGGTTCATGAAGAATGACTAAAGAACTAAGATGTGGACTTATTTCATCCCATTGATCCCAAACAAAGCAGTATTGTTTAACATCAATAAGAGATCACCTTATTAGTTCCCTTTAGCCCAAATTCCATTATACCTAAGCCATTTCTAAGTTGACACCCTAAATTTAACTCCTTTTGATTGGTTTTCCCCTGTTTCTTACTTTGTCCGAGTTGCAATTTTTTACCCTATAAAATTTATAATTGACAGTTAAATTTCTAGCATTTGAACTCTAAACAAAATCCTTTGATCCATGACTTCCTAGCCCAAAATCCTTCACTTGTCTGTTCCAATAAGTTTAACACCATTCTCTTTCATGAACATTCTTAAAATTGTAATGGCAAAATAAATCATAAAGAAGTTTGATTTGAATTGTGAATTGTTTCCTAAAATTGTAAGATTGCTTCTGTTTTTATAAATTTATAAAAGTAATTAAAAATGCACATTCTACTGGATTTTAATCCATATCTTATATATATACTTATAATGACCGTTTTACCACTTGTATGCTAGAAGCAGTCAAGTTTGACATGAAAATCAATTAATATTATATTTATTATTTATTTATTTTGGTACTACATAGTTCACATTACAAGGGAATCAGCTTCATTATCTGAATTGTAAAACCCAAATGTTTTGATTCGAATTTTATGTCTGAATCCTTTTTATAAAAAAACATACAATTATTGTTTTAACTTTACAGTTCCATTCAAGGATCTTACAATTTATTATATGATATGATAATAGTTTTCAGAACACCCATGAATTGGGTTGTAAGAACTTACAATCTGTTCAAGGTATAGGGTATAACTTTCCTAGAGATTAGAGAAATATCAATTCTATCTGATCAATTCAATCACCTGTTAGAAGTGAAATTAAACTTACGTAATGGGATTTTCTTTGGTGATCCGGGTATACAAGTGATAGCTTGGTTTGATGTGTATGAGCATTTTGTTCGAGTGTACAGAGCAATGTCTTGCTTGCCTAAGATAATCAAATGGCTATTTTCAGATGAAAAGGCTTCTTTGTGTGAGTATGACGAATAAGTTTGGTCAATTAGAAGTAATATCCTAATATGTTGTCATTTAAAAAATTCAAAATAGAAAATTTGGCATCTTTTCAATGTAATATGAATCATATATTAAATTTATGCAACTGTAATGTGCCAAATTAACATAAAAAATGGTTTCTTAAGACAATGTGGGCTGTCATAAATGCATTAATCTCAACCGTACAAACCAAGATGAGTAACAAGGTTTAACCAACTGAGCTTGGGTCTCCTACCCACAAACTCTTCCTACATGTGGGAGAAGTTTGTGGGTAAGAGGTATGGAATGTAACTAATCTTAGGTCATCTAAAAACTTATCAAATCAACACAAAAATCTAGTTTACCAAAATGGCCTCCTAAGGTCAATTAATCAATTTTGGATCATCAAGAAACTTACCATGATTTTAATTAATCTTCATTCACGCTTGTTACTAAATTTTCTGGAAAAAATATGTAAGCCGAATAAGTTGATATACAAAACAAATATACCTCCTAAGATTGGTCAATTAATCTCAAACATCCAAATGATAAGCAATATATTACCTGATTTATCCCTTCCAAATGAGGTACCGCATCGACCCAAGAATTAAAGTGGCCCTAAGATCAATCAATTAACTTCAACCATTCAAGTGATTCATGCATCAAGGTTTCAACTAATCCAGCCCAGCCAAATAATGTATCAAATCAACTCAAAAATCAAAGCCATCAAAGTGGTCTCTCAGAGCAACAGATTAATCTAGCCCATCCAAGTGATATATCAAATTAGACCCATGACCTAAATGATGTGCCACTGCTATGGTTTCAAGTATCAACATGGTAGAATATGTGACCTATCCATAAATTAATATCACACATCACCACCACCCCTTTGGACCACCATTTCTACTGTTTTACTCTTTGATTCCATCATTCATCAAGAAGTTGCCCTGCAAATTGGGTTGCTCGATTTATGCCGTGTTTGGATCCGTGGGCATTTATTGAAAAAATGTTGCCACATCAGTGCTACATAGGTGTTGGTGTTTATTGCATGAGGCAAAATGAAATAACTGTTTGATTTTACCGTTTATCAAATAAATGGTAGAAAACTGAAACGCTTTGATTTTTGTGTATGGGGCATTAGGGGAAATGCCAAATTCTTGTTTCCCCCAACACCCCAACGTTACTTGAAAGTTGAAATTAAATGCTGACATGGCACACTTTATTGGGTATTAATCTGAGGTGGAGAGAAAACGTTTAAAGTAAAGTTCAACCAAACAACAAAAATAGAAAACGTTTATAGTGAAAAAGTACAAATAAACAGCCTATCCATCAACACCCATGAAACCAAACACATACTTAAAGAATTTCATTACATTAGACTCGGGTTAGGATTTGGGCCACTAAATTTAACAAATTCCCAACCCAACCTGACCCAAGCTGCACCCCTATCAAGAAGAAATTTCACTTGCCTTCATCACCTCCTCTAATCTAGGCCATCAAAATTGCCTCTGAAGATCAATCAATCAGTCTACACGGACAGCCTGTTTCATCTCCTCCAATCCTCTAAACCCACCTTTTTCTGCCCCACCATTCTCATCTGTACCTTCTCTGAAACCAATCCATTCATCTCCATTTCTACTTCTGCCATCTCAATTGCCCTTGCCACCAGTTCTTTATTCTCATTTGTCACTTTTGCCTGTCTCATCCTAATATTCTCCTCCATTACCCCATCCACCATCACTTCTAACCCCCTTTCTGGATTTTTTTTTTCTTTAGAAGTAAATGGACAGTCTGTGAACAATTTGCTAATTTCTTAATCACTAATAACAACATCAAAGAGCTCAACATTATATGAATGTACAAGGGAGGCTAAGCAAGTAAGCATCAACCTCCTCTTCAAGTACAGGGTTAATTTCCTTGTATTAGCCCTTTTATGTATGGCCTAAGAGAAACTTTAATGGCTTCCAAGTGTCCACAAGGTCCAAGATCAATGTGATTCTCTGTGTTGGGTTGCAGTGAAATTGGAAAAGATCGGCTGAAAAAGATACACAAAATCCATTTCAGCATTCAGCTCCAGGAAATGAGACAAGGAAATGCAGTTTCAAACCACATTTTCCATTGATTGAATGAAAGGCCCATCGGGTAGGGCTGAGCTGAAGATTCAGCTAATGGCTCTCCGGATTTTTCTCCAAACATAGCTTATAAGCTGACCATGTGGGGCCCACCTTGAAAAACCAAAAAACCACCGCACTTCATTGCTTCAGCCCTCCCAGTCCCAGATGGGCACTTACCAAACGGGGCCAGTCATTCTCATTACCCATTTTATCACAGAATCCGCACTTCCACCCACAATCCAAACACAACATATGTTCTTCCTAGTTCCTGCAAACAAAAATCTGCTGTATTTCTGATAAATTTGGGTTGAAATGTCTGTTATCCTTTGAATCTATGTACATTTTTGACCAGCTTGTCCTTTTTAATCTTCTGTAATGAAGTTAAGAATCTAAGGCTTTGAAGGAGAAAGGAACGTCCAAATTGTTCTACAACATTCTGCTCTCGTTTTCATCTACAAGTCTGGGTCGACTTCCTTTACTAGAACCCAATTGGAGGTTGACGGTTGACATGGTCAAGTCTTTGTGGGCCAGTCCGAAGCATTAACACCATCAGGCCAACCTGGTCAGCCCATGAGGTCGCGGACCCAAAGTTGAATAGAATGTTTAATTTGGGCCAAGTTGAACAATTTGACCATCTGGGTTCTTCAATTTGGAGGGTTTAAGGGTCCAATCACGCTTGAGTTTTGACTTTGATGCACCGCCCCTTTGGCCAACTGTCCAGCTGGCAAGACCAGATTGAGTCCAAGGTCAGCAGTAGGGTCTGGCCCATTCGTCCAGGTCCTAAAATGAATCTTGTCCTGGACGGGCTATAATGCTATATTCAATAGAAAATGTTTGGAAACTGTTTCATCACCTGATGGGATGATGCATGTAATGAATGTTAAATGTATACAACTCCATGGTGAGTGGCCTGTCTTCAACGCGCTAGAAGTCAGTCTAGGAGACAAAGTTGAGTAGTTGACCGGCATCTTCTTTGCCGATTTTTGTCTTGCTAATATCTTTTAGCGCGCTGAATATGGGTGATGCATCTAAGAGTCGTTTGGTATCCTTTGAACAGATAGGATACAGTCTATATAGATTAGAATATCATGAGGTTTGGTTATTAATTCAACAGCCGACGTAACGTTTCAACCATCCGAAAGAAAACATCCAAATTAAGGGATTGTTTGGGTAGGTGGATTTCAGTTTCGGTCAGTGCAATGCATTAGGAATATCTCTGTACTTACGTGCCAAGGGTAGTTTGAATGGTGTGAGCATGAGCTTGCACTGGCCGACGTCGAAGTCTTTTGGAAGTGTTTTTGTACTGGTGATAGCGGAAAACTGTTGTGAAAAAATAAATAAAACTTCTGGGTTTGACAAGGCATCAATCTATCACAAACTAAGGTGCTCTAGGAATAGAAGAAGACCCAAAAAAAAGCATTTTTTTTTGTGCTATTTTGGGTTGCACAAACAGTACAAAAGCTTATGATGTATCCAATTTGACTTAGCCAATGGAAGCCTAGTCGTGACTGAGATCGTTTATTGTCCGGGTCCATCTCATTTGTCTGTGACTCTTGTATTCAACACTTGACATTGACTCTCGTCTTAATTCTGTATAAATTACTCTCCAGTGCTTCTCTAGCTTCTTTTAAGTTGTTCTTCTTCTCTAGCTTGGAAGTCCTTTTATGCAGCTCTGCTTGCTTGGCGATCATGTCTGGCACGATGGGCGGCACGAGTACTCCACACAGCCTGACATCAAAGGGGGAACCCTCCAATTCTGGGTCTATAAACATTCAGATGATTACTGATTTTATTACTCGTTTGGGTGAGATTTTCTATTTTCTTCTTTAATTCATTACCTGCTTCTTCTCCGCTACTTGATGAGTTGAATGATTACTTGACAGTTTTGGAGAGCAGTGTCTAAACGACCCTGTTATAGTTTTTCTCTAGCGGCCTAACCATCTTGAAATCCTCTTATTTCAACTGCAGTGAGTTTTTGAGATCGATCAATCCAGATCGAGCATGATATATATCTGGATTGCAGAGTTAGAAGTCAAATCAATAAATAAATCTCTATGGGGCGAGCTATTGTTGTAGGCCTTGATACCTGTATATATCTATGACCACAACAGAGTCTGGTACTCTTCACTTAAGGGTTCAAGGAAAAGGCACAGATAAGGTAGCTACTGGGTTTGTCTTGGCTTATCACAGACAACCCTTGAGAGGTGGCCTAGAGAATTGTCCTAAGAAAGCTTATATTCTCAATGCAAAGACTACTACCTAGAATCCCTCACCCTGGAAACTACAGAAAGTGAGTTAGAAGGTTAATGTCTTAGGCACTGGAAAGTGGAAATCCTCACAGAGAATAAGTATGAGTTTTTGAACATCCCCATATTGAACTATATTTCTGAGGGTGCAAAACCTTTCTTGTCCAAGCAAAATTAAGCACTGAGGTGCATACTTGTGACTACCGTGGAAGCCTCTATATAATTTAATTAAACGATGATCAAGCCATCTAGAACTAGAACTAAGAAACTAGTAGTCTCTTCAGTGTGTTGTAGTACTCTTTTGTTAACATGTGCAATAACTAATGAAATGAAGTGTTTCGGGGGATTTAAAGAGTTGTTTTAATTATTTATGGCCTGCTTTTACTTGGGAGTTTACGGGAATATTATTTGGTTGAGTTATAAAAAATGTTATGGTTTTACTTTATTTTCTATCATTTATATAGTTTGGAACTTGATATATGTATTTGATAATGGAATGGTGCAGATGAGGCAGCAAAGAGAAGGTTGGATTCTATGAATCAGAAGCTGAGAGATATGGAGAGGCAAATGGAAGCACTTGAAACCAACATAAGTAAGATAAACGCATCATCCAGGGCTGATTTTTCTTGAGGAGTGATCAAGATAAACGCATCATCCACTGATGATTTCGATTTCTTGAAGACACACTCCCAATATATATATATATATATATATATATATATATATATATATATTCAGAAGTGTCCCATCACCCTCCTAAGTTTTTGTCTTTCTTTTGGGTGACAAAATTTTGTAGTAGTAAATCATTAATTTGTATCCAAATTATATACATAGCACAGAGCAGTATGTACATATAATTTGGGTTGGTCTTTTTGTTGTTGAAAAAAGTCTAATATTAACATATATGAGAGTGCAGCTTCTGTATTAATTTCTAGTGACCTAGGACACCATGTTTCAAGCCCCAAAAGCAAATTATTTATACTCTAAGTGGACCTGGATGGGTTGCTAGCTAGGAACATTTTGAAGTGTTCAAAATCGTCTTTTTGGCCCGGACCGGACCAATCCATGCTTTTCAAAATCGGATCGGACCAGATGGTAGGATCGGAAAAAACTGGGAACCAGCCCCAGAATCGTTTTTTTGGCCAAAAATTATTGATTTAATCAATAAACCATTGAATCGGGCGGTTGAATTGTTTGAATTGTCTAGCAGTTTTTAGCTGTTTTTTTTTTTAATTTTTTATTTATTTTGTCAGAATTGGTTGTTCATTTGGTTCAAACGGTCGGACTGTTCAACCTGAAAACCAGACCTCTGAAGGGTTCGTTGTCGGATTCAATTTTAAAAACTTTATTTATTTCTACTATGGTGTTGCCCATCTTACATATCTAGTTTCTAGCATATCCAGACTGGGGTAGGAGGAGGCCATCTACTTTATTAGCTGAACACATAATGAAAATGATTCACTTTCAAATTAGGGGAACCGTATACTAATGTTTGCACAAAAAACAAAAACAAAAAGAACAAAGATAAATAATGACTAGAAGAGAGGAACAATATTCCTCATGCTCGATATTTGGATATAGGTAGCCTGCCAACGGATCCAGTTGAATCGGATATAGGTAGATCTAAATTTTATTGTTTATATTTAGATTCAAATAGGATTTTATCCATCAAGCTGGATTGTAGGGATATCGAATAGTGTAAGTAAATTAAACTAAAAATGTTCAAAATATTTAATAAAATAAAGCACAAATTTTGTAAATTATTCCTACTGTTTAGTTAATTGATAAACTGTACCCTTATTTTTTGACTATTGTCTAAAACCACCCCTAATGATTTTTATAATTACCTAGCTCTACCCCTATTGTTAGCATCCGCTAATATTTCATCAAAATCCATATACACATGACACCATGTGACATATAATTATTTTTTTAAAACCCAATATTACCCTTTGTCCCTCTTCTATAAGCCGAGTAAGAATCATTGCCTATGAGTGTGATTGTTATGCCAATTTTCAGATCCGACATTTCAGAGGAGGGAGGAGAAAACACACGGAACACAGAGAGAGAGAGAGAGAGAGAGAGAGAGAGAGAGAGAGTCTCCGCAAAAATCCATGGCATTGAGTGTCCTGATAGGGGAACATAGAATGAGTGGATCGAATGGCACTGAGTGTGCACAAAGGGGAAGGTCTGTTTGAAAGTCTGAGGTGGCAATAGCCATTGAAGAGCGGATGAAGATAGGCTTGTTGTGAAGGAAATGATGATTGGTTGGAGAGGGAGAGAATGAGTTTTTGGCCGTTGATCGATTCCGAGATGGGAGAGAGTGAGAACGGGAAAGGGGTTAGGAATGGTGGAATAGGCAAAACCGAAGTTCATAGAGAGGGAAAGATGGGTGGCAAAGGGGTGAAAAGAATCGGTGAAGGAATGAGGATCAATGGGTGCCATTTGGGAGAGGATTGAGATGGAAAATTATGGAACTAGTAAACAATGACTGAGGAGTCAAGAGAAAGATGAGCAGGCTTTGAGCTGGGAGTACGTCTCTAGAGAGTCAGAGAAAAACAAAAATCATAGACAGTGCCCTCTGTAGGTGGGGTAAGGCTTGGTTGGGGAGTGGTATATTTGAAAGATAGAGAGAGACCGGTGGGTAGGGGAATAGGCTTCTGGGGTTAGGGATGCTGAGGTGAGGGAGCGGAGAGAGAATGTGCTTGAGTGCTGGGTGCTAAATGCCAAGGATCGAATGAATTTCAATACGAGGAGGACCTCTATTTATGGGGGAGATCCCAAGATCTAAAAGGCAGGAAATAAGGATATTTGCAATATATCGAGAAAATGAATATTGGATTCGTTGTCAATCATTAAGTGCACTACTGGGGTTTCGCCACGTGTCTCATGAGGATTTTCTCGAAGATCGACTTTCCTTCATCTCAAGATCCCTCGTTACTCACGTATGCTATTACCTCTCGTGCACTTTATTTTAATTGGCGTGGTGTTTAATGACGTTACCGCTTGGCGGGCGACATCTTGTTAACCCTACGTGGCATCTCGCCACTAGACCTGTTCATGGGCCGGGTAGCCCAATGGCCCGGCCCGCACCCCGGTTGGGCTTTGTCATGTAATTAGGCCCGCGGGCTTGACCTCGGGCCTAACACAGTAAGCCCGACTGTGTTTCGAGTCGGGCTCGGGATTTGTCAAAAAAGCCCGGCCCGACTCAGCATTATATATTTTATAAAATATATAATATGTATTTTATATATTATATAAAATATATAAATAATATACTATTTATTGAAATATATATATTTATAATTTAATATATACATTTTTTATTTTTTTCTTTATAATTTCTCTCTCTCTCTCTCTCTCTCTCTCTATTCAGCCGCTTCAGCAGTAGTAACAGCATGGGCTAAATTTCGGGCTCGGGCCCAGGTCCGGGCTTAGGGCTTTTTATGAGGGTCGGGTTCGGGCCCAAGTTGTAGCCTGACCCACGAATAGGTTTACTCGTCACGTCTTTTGATGGTGTAGGTTCCACGTGGCTATGGGTACTCGTGGGCCTCACCTTGGCTCGACCGGGCTTCTCTCGGTTTGGGTCGCGAGTGGGCTCAATGAACCGTGGATTTATCGCAATTTTGTGATATGCGTTGTGAGTTTATCACAAGATTGACGGAGTGTTGCAGGTTCATTGCAACATGGGAATTGATTGTGGATTGTTCACACACAACTTTGAGATATTAATCTTGATATTTGATATTCTCTGAAAGTCTGAGCAAACACTATATACCTAACCCTCAATTGATAATTCAAAATCAACAAACAACCATAAAGACATCAAACTGTAAAAACTGTCTTCAATGGCTTATTAACCCTATGTTTGTCAGAGCCGAGAATGCAAACGAACAAGCATACAACCTAATACGACTCAACTCACCCTCTTTAAATGTAAAACCATCACCAAGATAAAGCCAAAACGGGTACTTTTTGAACCGGTTGGCAGTACGAACTTGATTGAAAAACTCAATTGTCATATATGGCCTAGATCTTTTCGTGTGTTGTTCTTATGAAGAAAGGCAAAAGCAATGATAAAGTATAAAGGCTCAGTTCGGAGGGTGTACAAAAATAAAAATAAATATGAAGAGTGCAAAACCTTGTATTTTGTATGTATTTACACCGTATATATTTGTATTTACACTAAAGAGCGAAATCAATAGTGATCACAAATCTCAATGCTTGGATTATTTAACTAGAACAGGTAAAACTAGCTTTTCTGTGTTTTGTGTTGCTTGATAACTCTTGCGAGAAAGTCAAAGACACCTCCTGTTGTTCCCAGAAAATAGCTTCGACGGTGCTTAGTCAATTGAGGCCACTTGCCATGCTCCGAAGTTGGAGGAAGTGTATGCAGAGAACTATAGGGTGCTGAAGACGGGGGCATTTTACAGAGCACATCCATTCTGTTGCAGAGATCTACAGGGTGCTAAAGTTGGGGGGATTCTACGAGAAAGAACCAGATCCTCAAGCATAGTTGTGGTGTAGATTGAAGAGACGACAAACATGAACGCACTGTCTAATGGAAAATGAAGACGGAGATGGAAACGAAGTGGAGATAGAGTAGTGATCTGCTTCTTATTTCTGAAAATTTTTATTTGTTGGGTTTTATTTTGAAAATTTGAAAAATAATAGAGGACAAATTTGATATTTTATTTTTTCTGTTAGCACTTAACATCAATGTCAATATATAAATAATAAGGATAGACTTAGTCAATTAACTACACCATAAGGGTATTTTAAGAAATTTTCCCTAAAATAAGCTTATAATGACTTTAATATTGTATTTCATTAACAAACTAAATTCAAAATTAATTGTATAAAACTTCAACCTATGAAAATTTAGTAAAAACACAACATTCAAATCATCCTTACCAATTGATAGAATATAAATTTCATTACAAGTATACACATTTAAATCAATTTTAGTTGGATTTTATATTATAGGGGTGGATCCATATTTGATCCAATAATGGATGAACTTTTTAAGAGAAAGAAAATCATTATTGAATTATTTGAGAAAATGCAAGGGGCTGTGTAGCCTGACTCGAATCAAATTTGGGTCAACTTTAATTGGATTGAATTTGAATTCAAAATTCAGACAATCGGATATACAGGCCTATTTTCTTGACAAATGTTGGAGGACTGGAGTGAGATACATACTTCTCCTAAAGTGACAATATTAAAATTATAAAAGTACAAATCATTAAAATTAAGAAACAAGAAACCAAGATACATTTCTACATCCAAACACAAACATAGTTTTTAAATCTTATGGTAGAATCATGTTTCTAACTTAGAAAATTCATTGAATAGTTTTACATAAACCACCTTCTTTTCCTTGCTTAAAAAAGAGCGCCTCAAATAAAGCCCGCATCTAGAGAACAAACCAGCCCAACTTCCTAACCCCACCAGCACCAAGACCGAAAGTCAAAATAAATCGCCCGAGAGAAAACAAAGACTAGATAATGATGCTTAAATATATATAATGAGTTCACATCTACGCCCCACAATGTCCCACAGCATATTCTAACCTTATATTGAAAATATCTCTTGATGATATCTTATTCTAACCTTATATTGAAAATATCTCCTGATGATATCTTATCCATATTTATGTATATGGAATAAATACGGTATGGAAGTGATGAAAGCAGGAGAGAGTGATACGTTGGTAAAGGATGAGTAGTAAGACAAGCAAAGTTATTAGCCACCTCGTGGGCAGCTTTGTCACAATCACGTGGAGCAAAGTCGATTGTTATATGTCTTCTGCAGGTGGCTATACAGTGATAGATTTGCCACGTAGGCTCAGAATCGACCTTCAATAATAGAAGATTGACGCTATCCCTTCTTCAATACAGAGATGACATAGCTTGAGAGGTGCTGGAGCTTCCTTGAACTTCCCATATATAAAATCTCCTGCGTCGTCTCTAATGTCTGTGTATAATTCAGTGAAGGCTGTGCTCGGTGTGAAACTACAATGGTCAGCATGATATACCAGTTGCTTCTCATTAGAAAGCCAAGGATCGAGAAGGGGTTGGGTGATTTAATTTTTCTTTAATTAATGAAAGCTAGGTGGTTTGTTTTGCACTTAGATTTGTCTTTGCATGTTCATTTTCTTGATTCGAGCCCTTGTATCTTTTTCATTTTTCCGACTCTTCTGAGGCAGACCTGTCAATGGATCAAGTCTGGTTTGGAACAAGGGTAGAGTAGTGCGAAACCAATTATAAAAAATAAACCCAAAACGAAACTATTAATAATCGGGATAATCAAGAATTAATCACCTGAAAAGGCTATACAAAGAGATCATCCGTTCATAAATTAAACCAGCTATTTGGGTAGGAATATCTAAATGGGCTATATCAAACTGATCCAAATTGAATTTGAATCTGAATGTGGATTGAAATTAGACTAGAAACGATAAAAATATTATATATTATTAATAAAATGAATTAAAAATTACTTTGATATTATATATCATAAATGAATTGAATATAACTTATAAGAAATTTGAACTCATGCCTTTGTAGCAAAAATACAACATTCAAACCAAACCAAATTTTGTTAATAAAGACAATATAGTTTTTTTTAAGCACATATAAACATAAATTTAGATTGGATGGAATCGGATAATATCAGATCAGATAGGGTGAATGGACCAAATTCTATCCAATTATAAATGTATCGAATTCAGCTCACTCCTAAGCAGATTGAATTTAAATTCAGCTAAACAGATATCATTTAATTTGCAACCCTATACACTATATTTGAGGTCCTGGAGAGCATATCTGCGGCTACCATGGTCACACCACTGCCTTGTGGGTTATTCATGCATATGCTAGTTGCTAGCGGGATGACATTATCTAATAAATATGTATGTTTCTACATATAGATACATACGTTATGATCGGGCCAAGATCTGTTCACAGGCCCGGTTGAGTTTGGGTCGGACTTTGCCTTTATATTAAGTAACAGAATATGATCGGGCTTAGATCTTGAGCCTGAACTCAATACTCGTATAAAATTTAAAGCCTAGCTTGGAAATTGAGAAAAAAGATTTTTATTTTATTCAACAATAAAATTAATTTACTTGTACTAAACAATCTCAAAACCCCAAAATATTAAAAAGATCTTAATCAGTATTGGTTGAGAAAAGAGATGAGGAACAAAAAAAATATATATTATATATTTTTATTATATAAAATATATTTCTTATTGTATGCATGATATATATTTTTTATTATATAAAATATTATCAAGCCCAATACCCGACTTCATAGACCTGAACTGATGTCCAAGCCTCGCAAAGGATGGGCCCGCCCATCGAGCTACCTGGCCCATAAACAGTTGCAACAACTCCTAATTAATTGGCAAAAAAATCATGAGCCAGTGCGCATGAGGAGACTACAGTAATTGAGGACTATGAGTGGAGTGGGTGAAGCATTTGTATTGTAACAAGCTTCCAAACATGCACCGTAGAAAACCTAAAATGAAGAAGAAATAACAAGGCAATACAATATTGTAAACAGCTAATATAATTAATTTGTTCCTATGGCCTCTAAGACAAGTACTTACAGGATCTCACTCCTATGCTCACATTGACATGGTCAGATCCTAAGTACTCAGCCCCAATGCGGCCTTGCTGCAATTTGTTTGTAAAGGCCAACTAGTTTTGGTTTGGATGATATCTAGGTGCCTTTCACTAGGCTGAGCCGGCTGCACATGTTTCCTCGATGAAGATGGCAACAATGAAAGAGAAAGCATGGTATTGATTTCTTTTGTGCTTTCACCACCCTTGTCGCTCTCATTTGCCAAGCTGTGGCTCAAACTCAGCTGCAAATTCGGCGTTATCTTTCTCTTTTTTGAACTTGCTTTGTCTTCTATCTCCTCCGCCTTCTCTCCTCTTATACTACGCTTGGGTTGAATTGTTGGAAACCTTTGTAACTGCATTTGATCAGTGTCCAGGTTAATCGAAAGAAAAGAAGAATGAAAAGCCACATATATTAGATGCAATTTCGTTAATTCTATGGTAAAGAAACAAACTTTTCCATTAAATTCCCAAAACACTGTAGCATTACTGTTGAAGGTTGCATCATGGTAGTGTCAGGTGCAATTGAATATATATGGGGTAAAGTAGTACACTTTAGTACTGCATAAAATGCAAGTTGGGCTGCGCTTGGTTGCTGTACAAATTTTATTTGCACTAGTTTAAATGCATGGGAGTGCAAAAGTCTGAATCTAAATTCTGATTTATTTTTGCTTCAGATTTTACTTTATATATCTTATTTGTTTGTGAGAAATAAATAAATGAAGTGACCTCCCCAGAAATTGGAGGTAGGAGGAGGATTTATCTGTCTAGGAGCAAAGAAGGATGGAGATGATGCCATCCTGCCTTTATATGAGAGAGAATTGAGGTAGGAGAAAGATGCAAAGTGTAAATTTGCATCATTTTTTGGGATGCAAAATTTGCACTGTAGTGAAAAAGAGAGAAAAGAAAAAAATAAAGTATCAAGTTGGAATGCAAATCAAAATTTCAAGCAAACAAAGCAAAACCCAACGGGTACAAATTTTGCACCCATCAAGATCTGAACTGCAACCAAATACAACCTTTAAGTCTTGGTATGTTGTACCAATGTTTTAAAAACCAACCCACTTTTGCCTCCGGGTCCTAGGTCATCAGTTCAATCGTGTATATATATATATGTGTGTGTGTGTGTGTGTGTGTAATTGGGATCTGTTCCTCACACTGACCTCACAGCCACATCCCACCATGTATTGAGAGCATCTCCCCATGAATAATAAATACAACTATGGGAGATGTTTCCGATGTGCGGCCAGGACATATTGTGAGGTCGGCGTGAGGAGTGCTCTGTGAGGAGTAGATCCAGACTCACGTGTGTGTGTTTGCAAAAATATATTTATCAATAAATAGTGTATAATTATGTTTTACATATAATATATGTATTATTTTATATTTAATTTATGTTTTTTAATTCAGTTTTTCATTTTTATTTACAAAGATATTAAAAATTGCAATTTGAGGCCAAAAAAGGGTTTTTTCGTGAAAATAGTGGGGTAAGGTGTCTAGATCTCGAAAAATTACCCAAAATAAAAAAAAATGATCACTTGAATTGAATATTGGTGTGCAAAGTTATAACCTCTGAAATTTTGCACATATATTAAATGTGCAACCTGCCACCCAGCGAACTAGTCAATGTTTGAACCATTTGGGTTAGACAGTTTTTGACCAAGTCAATGGTTTTTGATAGAAGGGTAGGTTTTAGTAGAATGGGTAATGGTTCCAATGGTTCAACTGGCCAGGTCAATGACAGATTAAAAACACTGCATTGTACCACAGAAATGATCTACCTTGACTGATACTTTATAATGAAGATGTTAATTACCTCAAGCCTAAATGGAGGTTCAAATTCTGGTTCTAAGGTATCGGAGATGACTATGGGATCACGCACACTGGAACCAAACTGCTTGTCGGAGGCGCCAGTGTTGGCATTCCATCCCGGAGGTTGCTGCAGGGTGAAGGACGCCGCATCAAGACATATTGACGTGGACCGAATTTGGTTGGCCTTGGCCAGAGGTTGGGAGCTACTGCTGCTAGCCCAAGAAATATTTGCAGGAAGTTTTCTATCCTTTCCTGGGTTGCTACTCATTTCTCGTGGAGGCCACCTTGTTTCTTCAAGAAATTGGCTGCGTCTGATGGGTCCATTTCCTCTGAATACATCACCCCTTGAATCTAACAGGCGTGAAGTCGAAGTGTGCTGATTGAAGGCCCACTCTTCGTGTCTACCGGAAGTAAAAGAGAAAGTAGAAGGGAATTAGACAAACTTAGAATATAAAGCATGCTTTGAAACAAATTCCTCTATATCTTTATTACTTCTAAATTTCCTTTGTTTATTACTGTCCCTTATTTATTTTTACCTCAAGGGGTTTGCCTTAAAAGCATATGGTTGTTGGGAGAGTGGATTGAATAGACTCTGCTGTGGGTGTGGGTTAGAATCTTGGGCGTTTCTGGCCAGTAAAAGACTTCGGTTCTCCATTCTGAAATGTCGATATGGACTGGTCCTTTGATAGAACAATGGAGGAATTTGATCAATCATCCCTTGCATTAGCCTGATTGACAGAGATAAAACTGCATGCGAAATGCATGCAAAACATTGTTTCAGTTCTAGGTGTGTAAACTAGTTGGTATATATATAAGCAGGAATAATGTGCAGACATTGTTAAATGATTCAAAAGGATGTAGTAATCTACCTTGCCCAGACTCATCCAACTTCTTACTTCGATACATCTGTATCAGCAAATTGCATTACCAGAGAGAAAGGAGAAAAGTTAGAAAAATGAATGAAAGAGAAGGAAACCAAATCATAAGAAACCTAAAGCATCATGGGTTAGTTTCATTTTAACTACCTGCAAATGGCTTTTTACATGAGAAATGCTTAGCCCTCTTACATTCATCAACTGAAGAACTAATTTAGGAGTTGCTCCTACAAGCATCAACATAATATTAAAAGACTAGATGTATTCTACTGGTTATCATTTTTTTGAAAAAAAAAAAACTGTCTAGGCTGCATTTGGTTGCAATTTGCACTGGTATAAATGCATGGGAATGCAAACAGGCTGAGAGTAAATTCTGATTTGCTTTTGTTTCAGATTTGGCATTGTCTTGTTTGTTTTTGAAAATTAAGATATAATGTGTGGTCCCAGCTTACATACAAGACAATGGAGGTAGGACGAGGGATATTTGTTTGGTAGTAGTAGGATAGGAAACAAGATGATGTGTTCTCCACTTTATATGAGAGATAATTGAGGTAGGACTTAGGAGGAAGGTGGTGCAAATTTTGCATCTTGTAAAATTTAGAATGATAGTGAGTGCAAATGAGACAAAAAGTAAAAATTTTAAATCAGGTAGGAGTGCAAATCATAGTTACAAACAGACACATGCAAAACTGAATTAGGTGCAAAATTTGTATGGAATTGCACTGCAACAAACGCTGCCTTGATGTGTTTTGCCTTCTCTCGCCAATATTTGTAAAGGAAATGAAGCAATTCATTTCAAGAGACCACAAAAATTCTTGGCCAAACTTACTTTCTTGTCCACCAAGTTTTTCCACGGCATGCAGGAAAGAAAGGTGGAGATCAGGAGTCCAACGGAGCCGAGGCATTTTTGATCGCACATATTGCCTTACTGTAGTTGTTCGTTCACCGCCCTCTCCAGTGCCATCTTTATTCCTTGAATTCTCTCCTGTCTCATCCTCAGTGGCAACAATGGCAACATCTGTAGTGCTATCATCCCCTTCACTAATGGCCTCTGCATTCAAATCAAAAGATGAACACTTTTGCGAAGACAACGGAGAGGTATTTTGAGCCTGGGCATCACTTCCATTGCTGTTTTCCCCATCAGAGATCTCTACTCTCTCAACCATATTGCTTATTGAACTTCCCACTGTTGATATTCTTCTATGGTTGCTACTTTGCTGATAGAATTAGCAAGGTAAGAGGGCACCAAAGAGAACGTTAGAAACTCAGATTTTGATTCAAGAAATTAGAAAAGAAAAATAATTCAGATGCATTATAATCTATATGTAAATGGGATTATTCCATATCAGCTTACAATTATTGAGAAAATGATTTGATTACAATAATCATGTCAAATGGGATGATCATCAGAAGCAAAGCCCAATTAAAGGCTTAATAAAAAGTCTAATCTCCATTAATTTCTATAGTGTTTACAGACAGTTGCTTTCATATTACTACTAGCTAGAAACAGTTATGCTAGCGTAAAAGGTTGATTCTAAGTAGTACATACATAACTTCAGAATTACTTAATTTGTATTTGTATTGGGAAGTGTTGTGGCATAAACCATTGATGAGCACCAAGTTTAATATGCATTGGAATGTGGTTAACTGAGGCTTTTCATTTGGCATTTAGCCATTAATTAAACATCAACCGAGGCAGGAATGACCTATATATAGAGAAGGAAGGAACTAGTAGTGATGATATCACGATCGATATATTGATAGTTTTCTCTTCTCCTTGGGATGCTCTGTCGTCTACTGTTTTGTTTCTTTTGCTTTTCTTTTTCCTTTTGATGAGGGAGGGTGGAAGTACGAGAAACCTACCAGATCTCATCAGATGGGAAAATAGCTCGACCACTAGTTCTGGGTAATTTGCCTCGTGTTTTCTTTCTCTAGATGCTAGTTGGTGAGAGCAAAACAATTGGAAATATTGCAATTGCAGAACAAAAATTAATGTTGCAATAAAACCAAGCCTGACAAATAATCCAAATTCACTCTATTTGATAAAAAAAAAAGATTATAACTTCTCCCTAGATATTACAGTTCCCGTGTTCATAACGGAAAGAAAAAAAAAATCTTCAATGGATTGAAATGAAAAAGGAATAAAAACCCATAAATTAGAAACAACAATTGGTTGAAATGGTAAAAATATATAGTGAGGATGAATGGATGATGATGAAGTTATGGCTTACATGTTTTTCGCCAAGAAATTGGAATTTCTAAGCCTTGTTCTGCTACGCATCGTGCTTATCGGTTCTGTGAAAGTGGGTCATCAGAATGCAAAATTAGTTTTTACGCAAATTTCTAAATTCTAATGTCACGTGGATGAATAAAACAAATAAATAAGATGCTTTTTGAAGACATACATGGCCGTAGAAAGCAAAGAAAAAAAAGAAGATATAAACAAATTCGATAATTCATTGTTGCAGATCACCAAGATAAATGTTATAGTTAGCTATGTTGATTGATACGGTAAAGCTCTAGATAAAAGTAAGCATCCTACCTATGGCTGAGGTTATATGATTTCGAAGAAAACAGAATATTTGAAGTGTGGAGAATTTCATGAAAACTTGTCAACAAAAGAAAGCACTCGATCGAGTGTGTGATGTGTTTGAGCGTAAGGCTGTGGGTTGCTTCTGTGTGCTGAGAGAGAGAGAGAGAGAGAGTCTCGTCCCTTGATTTCATGAGAATCAGAAGCACTAACAGCAAGACCAAACTTACTGAGAGAGATAAACAAACCGTGTAAAAATTGGGTTCATATTTGCAGCTAATTTGCTCTTGAAATTTGACAAGCTTCCCCACATTAAATAATCGAGTAAAAATAGTGGAGCTGCAATTGCTCAAGTAACTACAAAACCCTCAGAAGAATGTTGGATCTTCTGTACAATATCTCGAGTTTAACTCTTAGCTTAGGATGGAGAATCCATGAAAAGAAAATCTGTACTCACATATAAACGGTTTACTTTGTTTCAACTACATAAAAAAGTCACGGAGGACAATAGAACAAAGAAAATGGAACTTACAGTAGAAGAATTATATGAAAAAAAGAGAAAAATTATCTCCAAATACAAACCATGGATTACGAAGGCGCTTCGTTTCTTCTTCTCTCTGATTTTTCCAACAGACAGCCGGCTGCAGCATATTCAAACATATTCTTTCCGGTTACCTACCAAAAAATATAACTCAGGCCGGGGATGCAAAAGTGGTTCATAGATTGAAGAAAAAGGGTCCTTGAAATAGATATACAATTGGGTGAGAGAGAGAGAGAGACTTACTATTTCATAGTCTTTGCTGTATGTAATTCAATATCGTTGTTCCATCTTTCAATCAACCTTGAAATTTAAGCTTCATGGCAGTAGTCATCAAACCGCAGATGTTCTCAGAATATTCTGGTTTAAAAAAAATCGTCATCTCTCTTCTTGTGGTTAATTTCCAAATGCAAATATTATAAGCTTTTGTTTAATAGAGGAGGACGACGGTCGGACACAACTTGATCTCTTTGTATATTGTAAAAATACTAGTAATGGTTTAACAACAATATAGAATTATAGATTCAGAAACGACGACCCTTTTTGGACTGTTGAAGATCATGTGACTTGCTCCCCCCTTTCTCGTTTCAATCGTTCTTTGACAGCTTGTCCATGTACATCTCTCTCTACTCCACCCTTTCTCGTTTCAATCGTTCTTTGCCAGGTTGTCCATGTACATCTCTCTCTCTCTCTCTCTCCTTCCTCTGATCTGTGATTATCTTTATGGGTTGACCAATGTGAACGACTGCACTCGCCTCTACAATAAACAAATTCCATCATAGTTATTATAATTCATATACATATAACCTTCATCTAGTTTTATTCTGAAAAAGGTAGCCTGTCATCATCAAGCACAATCTGACCATTTCTATCTATACATGGCTTCCACCTACATACTATATAAAAATGCAATTCATGTCTCCTTGTTCTTATTATTATTCCTGCAGTCATTTTTAGTCCATGGTGTCTACATTCATTTCATTTTCATTGTTCTGATAAGGGAAACTTGTCACTTGATGGTATGTTAGGGTTGAGACCATGCATTAGGGCTCCAAAAGGTATTTCCTTAATTTTCTAAACTTGAATAATTCAAATCCAATCCCATTAAGGTGACCCAATTTCCATCCATTGTGATTGGATGGAGTATATCCAACCCGATTCTAATTCCCATCTAATAATACTTACATATTTATGCTTATAATTAATTGATTAATATGTATCTATTAGAAAATTTGGTTTGTCAAAGTTTAAAGTCTCGTAGAAGTTATGTTCAAGTAGTTCATTTGTTAATTATAACGTATGGTATTTTGGTTATTTTTAGTTTAATTTATTAATGATATACAGTCTAAATCTATTTTGAATCCAATGGATAAGATTTGAATTGAACCCCAATATTGACCATCAACAAAGTTTTCTCCTTTGGTACCGTGGGGAATCATATACACTTGCTATGTTTGGTTTGAAGGAAAAGGTAGGGAAAGGAAGGGAATTAATGTAGGGAAATCAATACAAAGTTTGTAAAGGTTTTCTTACTTTTCCCTTCCTTTCCCTACTTTTTCCTTCAAACCAAACACAATCTAAATGGATACATGCATAACATGTATATATACATATGTTAGATATGCATACAAACATACCTACATATATATAAAGAGAGAGAGATAAGAAGAACATTGTTTGTACTGAATCCCACTAGACAAATTTTAGTTTCTTCAATTGGGTTAGCTGAGTAATGTATTACTTAACAGAGATGTTGAAAACTTATAATATATTTTTTAGTTCATGTTGGAAAAAAAAAACATAAGAATAAGAATAGTTCAGTCCTCTAAGTTGTGGTGAAGGACATCCCTCCCCCATAGATGAATTTTGGAGGGCCATACCAGCATATGAGCCACAAGTAAATGAAGGAAGCAGCATGTCAGTTTTGTATACATTATTAATGTGGTTCTCCAATCTTGATCTGATTCTATGAGTACATTATTTTCTGCAAGTTTGTGCTAGAACCAATGTGCGGAAATGGGCATGAAAATTTAAATCCACAGGTTTTTAGATTCTTCCCAAGGGATCGAGATTCCTGGGCTCTATTGTCAACAAAGGATTCCAAAAGGACCAACCCCATAAGGATTTCAAATCCCACTGCAATTGGTTTAATTCAGCTTCTATAAATTCACCAATTATTTCTTAGTTCTATCCTCATCTACGACAGAAAAAAATAAAATCAAAACCGGATCCAACCCCTTTGAGATCTTCCAAGTTCCTACTTCTACCTAGTGAAGGAATGGTAGCATCCATCTAATGGACGCCAAAGAGGTTGCGGAATGGGTGGGCGAATTTCAAAAATTTTCTACCTTCCTCCAACTGGGAATTGTATTCCCTAGATTTAGAATATCATATTCAAGGATCTTATCTAAACCAAAATCGAACCAGATCTGAACCAAAAGGTAAAAGGGAGGATTATACCTGATCCGGAGAAGCAGTATCTCCCAAAGTTGGTGTTCACGCCCAAAGAAGAAACCAAGATCCGCTCCTGCTGAAGATGACACAGCTGTGGATGGAACGGAACCAGCAGGGTGC